TCGCCTTGAAGGGATCCTCTCCTTTTCGCTTCTCATCTCACTGTGAGCTGCAGTGTGGTCGGCCTTCCATCTGCAATGGAAAAGCCGCCTTCAGCCTGAACGATCGAAGAAAAAAGGCCACATGTCCTTGAGACGCGCGCGATCGCGCTTATTAACTTGTCAACCCTTCCAAAATCTTGGGACGAGCGTCGGGAATCAACCTTGGGGCTATTAAAACGCGGAGAAAGTATCGAACATTACCCTTCTTTTTAGCATATCATAGCGAGGACATAATCTTATTAAAAATATATTTAAATAAGATATACATATAAAAGTATTTAGCAAATGTTATGAACAAAAATGTTTCGAAAAGTATCTGAATTATTTGTATATAAATTTTATATTGTATAATATAATATATAAATATAAATTATGTGCGTATATATATTTCTTTATTTTAAAAAAGAATAATATATATACATAAAGTGTGTCATTTTAAGTGATGCAGCTGAATATATCTTAAAGTAAAAGAAATTGGGAAAAATGTTTCAGACAATAGTTTTATGATTCCGAGGGGGAGATAAGATGGTGCCATATTAGTTTGACCTTAGAGAGTGACCCTAGAGAGTTAAAAAGTTAGAGGTGATCTTCACCTGAAGATCACGTGAAGATCACCTCTAACTTTTTAAATAGGACACCCTATATGCTTTTGCATATTCTTGTAGCCTATCTCGAGAACTTTTCAAAACACTATAATTAAGTTAGTTTTCATTAAATACTTTCCGAGTTATGAGGCTTAAAATTTCTTAATTTTACACACACACACATAAAACAATGCACGTAGAAACTATTTCCAATCATCCCGAGAAGTGCTCCATAAATAACTCATCGTGATAAATCTGATGATAACTGATGTGACTTTTCTTTTTGATTTCTTAAGATTTGATTGTTCATTTATCATAATAACTCTTTTTTCATACTGATTTATAATTTCCGTTATCTATATCTATCGTGTTTGTTAAAGAAAAATACCTGATCTCAGGTCTTAAAGTAAAGATCCTTTTTGGATCCTTATTTGAATTTATTTTTCCAAACAACAAAATTGACAGCACTATGCCAATACTAAGTTTGAACACGTATTGTAATGAATAGAATGACACATATAAATCATACCTACAAACCACAAGCACTACCATGGCAAAGTTTGAAGATGCACTGTAGTGAATAGAATAACACATACAAACAAAGCCACGTTCTTTTATTTCATAAAAAATAAGAGATTTGCATGGCTTTGTCATATATATCATCAAATTTGGAACATACGACAAATATTAATAATAAATATATAAATAACGTAAAAAAAGAATAATATTCCATTTTTTTATTATAGCAATAAATTATAAATAATCCAAAATGTCTTAACTCATCTAAACCAATCTAAACTAAAATAATCTTACATCATGAGAAAATTATATGTGAAAAATATTACAATCATTTTTATTTTTTTAATAAAATATCATATTTTTATATGTTTACATTGATTATACATACATAGGTACATACATAGCTACATTGTCAAACTTTGATGGCACATAATACAGTATTATGGAATCAGTTTAAAAAATCAATTAAAAAACGCAAATATTACAAACAACAAACGAAAAAAGTACAATTATTATTATTTTCCAATTTTCTTATAAATACAAAACTCCCACTCATCCCCACTCCCACGCTGTCAATTTCTTAAGCTTGAGTAATCTTATCATGTACTATTTTTAATATATTGGTTTTAAAACATATATTATATATCTTTGAAATCACTGCTTCAAGTTAATTATAAATTTCCATTTTATGTGTGTACAACACTTACATTATTATTAATCGGTTATTTATTTACTATAGTGGTTATTTATTGGAATGTATTAATATGTAGATGTGAAAAGTAATATAAACAAAAAAAAGAGGAAAGAAAAAAGAATTTAATAACTTGCCTAATTTACAACCTGAGAATATTCAAGGAAGTTATTCATTTTTAACCTATAGACTGCAGGAAAAATCACTTTTGTAGCTCTGAACAAATCTCGAAATTCTGCATAATGTATGTTATTTATATAGAAAAATTTGTTTGGAAGAAGAAACCACAATAAAACAATTTCCTCAAGCTAAACGAATTCTTCAAAAAGGCCATTTATCTTTCAATTTATATACTTTATTCAAAAAAAAATTTCTGGCAATAATAAAGTCATGCTGTAAATGATTATTTTGAAGCACTCTTATGGTAGTGACCATAATGGGTTGGAAAAACTATGATAAATTTTGGTTTCATCTTTAATCAATGGATAAACTAGCAAAAATTATAAAAATAACTAATATGTAAATCTAAAATATACTTATATAACTTTGAAGATATAAAAGTTTCTAAATTTTATATTAATTTTTAATTTATAAAATGTAATAGTAACAGAAGTAACAGAATTAAAAATTTTTATACAAATCTGGTTCAAGATGTAATTTTTTTCTCTTTTACTTATATTTTTTCACATCAGATTATATGCCTATCGTCTGAGATTGGCTGTTTCAAATCAATTAATTTATTCGCGCGAGATGATTTATTAACACGATACTTTCACACTGCTATCGCATCATCACTTTTATTTGCAGAATAAGATAAATAAAAAATGGGCAATATATATAGATTATATAAACTTTTCTAGTTTTTTATAATCGCAGATTAACTTTTATATTATCTATACAAATGAATAGATTTTAATTTTTAAACAAAATCTTTGATTCGTATGCTTATCAGAGAATAAAATTTTAGAATATTTAAAATGTATGAAAAATTAAAAAAATGTTAAGTGATTATAAATCGGACAATGGGTTACACGTCATGATTCATATGTCTTTTATATATGTATATTTATTATCTATATTTTATCTATATATGAATTTTATTCCAAAAAAACATAAAAGGATAACATAAAAGGAAATGGATAAATATAAAAGAAAATCGAATTTTTGTTTATCTTAATGATTTACTTATTCACAATGAGTGTCAATTAAAACTCATCTCTTGATTATACTGCTTTCTTCTAGACACTAGACTCTAATTAATAATTACATATTTTTTTCTTATCAATTGATAAGACTACATCAATTGATTTCTCACATTATTTTGTGCATAAAAGTACTTTCCCAAAAGAGAAAGTTTGATATGAAGACAGTTTTATAAGTATTTGTTGAGGATGCCGATTTCAAATTTATTATCAAAATTTACATTCGAAATAGCCGATTTAAGATAGTCATGAAAAACTGAAATATCGATATTTAAAAAATGAACTTGAATTTAATTTTTTTTATTAAATTTATATTATATTTTGTCTGAATATACACACATACGCTCGATTTGCAGCATTATACACATACTTTGTAATATAATATAAACATAATATAAGTTGCGTTAAATGATTTGTCAAATATTTTTTTTTTGTTTTCCATATGGAGGGCAGGGGAAATGCAGTCACCTTCCCATAAAGGGGAGAGGACCAAGACCCCACCTTATGCACACCCCCCGAGCCAGTCTCGGGGGGTAGTGCGGGGCTCTTCCTCCTCCAGCGGAGGGCCTACCCGCTAAAACCCCTGCCCGTGGAGGGTCTGAAAGACCCAGGCGGAAAATCTTCATCATGTTGTCCTGACTTCAGCTTCTAGGGGGACCGGGAACCATAACTTCCCCGGAAGTTGGGACGTTAGCACGTGCACTACGGGTGCTGGTTTACTCGGTTTTATTTTTTGTTTCTTTGTTTCGGGTACTACAAGCAAGGAGGGTCAACGGCCGAGGGGACCAATTTGTCAAATATGCTATTTCAATATGTCTCTAAAATAAACAGGTTAGATAACTCTCTCTCTCTCTTTCTCCCCCCCTCTCTCTCTCTTTCTCTCTCTCGTCGATAGATCGAACATAAAATTATAATATGAGCGTTATGTTATGAAATAAAACGATTCTCCATCGCATACAGAGTACATACTAATTGTAAGATCAAAATAATTCATGCCGAAAAAAACCAAGAGCAAGTAAACGCGTTAGTTTGTTTCTTGTTCCTTTTCATTATAATTGATTCCTATCATCGAATTTTAAATGATTAGAGCGATGAGAGTAAAATCTTATTAATTCAATTGTTACATATATATTTTCGTTGTTTATCAAAACTTTATTTAAAATAGAGATTCGCAAATTTTTGCATGATCGATTATTTTATTGTTTAAAAAAAAATTTAAAGCAGTTTCACGCAATTTTGTTAAAGGAATAATCAGATAACTTTGCTTATAATTAAAACTTAGGGATATATAAATATGTACACCGATGTATGTGAAGATTAAAAAATATATTTTACATTATTTTATATTATTTAGTTACAAAATTCATATGAAGATAGTCGATACCACAATTATTTATATATATATATATATATATATATATATATATATATTATGCAATAATATAACAACATAAATAAATACAGATTTTTATATATACATTGATTTTTATAAATATAAAATTCCTGATTCGTCTTATATAAAATATAAGTACAAAACACTGGTACTGACTTATACAATATACAAAATATGTACATACGCGAATATAAAAATACCAAGAGGGAATTTCAATAATTTTCCGATAACTTTATCTTTCTCATAATAATTAAAAATTAATCAAAAACTCTTTAGTCAAACATGATTATTGTTAGAAAGATAAAGATTAAAAATTTTAAAACGCTAGAATAACAGAAATTATTCTTTTACATAGATTTTTTTTAGTTGTGACGTGATTTTTATTTCTTTTTATTTATATAATGGAGCGCCAGATCCAAAGCGGCTTGAGCATCCTCAAAGGAATATACATGCGTATATTCCTATATACAAAGGAATACATGCGGAATATACATGCGTATATTCCTATATACAAAGGAATACATGCGTATTCTTTTGTATATTTCGTTGGAGTAATCTCCGTGTTAAAGCCTTTAATCCGAAGGCATAAAGAAATCCTCTAGGATCAGGAATAAGAGCTGTCGTGTCACAACTTTTTCATGGAATATATGCAATGCTCTAAAGTCACTTGCTAAATTGTGACCAACGACGATTGTCTCAGCGCTAATCAAAGTTAATAATTTTTTTTGGATTTGTTGAAGGCTATTTTGTTTTAAGTGCTCCTCTGTAACACCGCTGAATCTTGAATAATCCAAGATTTCGGAATCTGGTGTTACAAAATCATTGCACACTATTTTGCCTTCCAGATCGATTACAGTGATTTTGGTAAGTTCGAAGCCATGTTCTGTGTAACACATTTCACAATCCAAGGCACAGATTCTGTATTTATTATTACAATGATTGAGAGACAGTGTTCGAATATAGCTCTTCAATGGTCCATTGAGTCCGGGTATCAAGCCGATCGACATGCACTCCTACTTTACAACTGGTAGAAAATCGCAAATCCCTACAACAAGTCCAATAATGTGTGTTCATTTCGCCGTTGGTCCTTCCATCAAATAACTTTCCCGAATGATAAATGCATCGCTGTTTGTACAATTTATTAGTGTTAATATTAATAGCAAGAGGTTTATGACACCTTGCGCATTCTATTCTTCGCTGCTGCGACGAGGAATCGTATTTCTCCGCGTTTTCTGTATTTTTTGCTCATGTTCAGAATTATGATTTACCGCTCTCTATCTTCTTTTCTTTGTTATTATCATTTATATTAGTGTTTATAAAACAAAATGTAAAATTAAACTAAATCGAAAATACAAAATGTAAAATTAAACTAATTCACGTGTGTAGCTGAAAAGATCACGTTTCATAGTTATAAACAAATAGGCGAGAGTGATATCGGTGTGGGGCTGAATAGTTCAGTGGTAAGAGCAGTCGCTCGGCAAGCGAAAGACTCGGGTTCGATTCCCGATTCAGCGACTTCGCCCCGATATTTTTCTCGTCTACGTCTCTTCAGGGACGTAAAGAGGGTTTTATAGAATTCTCAAAAATGAGAATCTATATATCTTGGTAAATGCACCAAGTAAAATATATGCATAGGCCTTGTTCTCATTTAAATTTTCGCGTAAATTGTTCTCAGTTGGATATGGTGTGTAGTTTATTATCACACAGCCTGGATGATGAAGACTTTCTATAGGATATGTTCATGTTCAGAATTATGATTACATTTACCGCTCTCTATCTTCTTTTCGTTGTTATTATCATTTATATTAGTATTTATAAAACAAAATGTAAAATTGTTCTTAGTTGGATAAGGTGTGTAGTTTATTATCGCACAGCTTGGTTGATGACTTTCTATAGGATATCCGCGAGTCTTCAAGTCATCCGGCGATAATATATATTTTTTCAGCAAATTGTACCAATAGGAAACAATTTGCCTCTTCTTATCCTGCCTTAGTTGGAAGTCTACGCAAGGAAAAGCAAATTTAATAAGTTTATTGGATTGGATTTTTTATTGCTAAAGTTGTTCACACATTGCACGTGCAAATCTGGCCTTCTTTTTATCTGGTCTTCCTTCTTTCTTTCATTTCTTTTATTACTATATCATTTAACTAATGAAAAGGATTAGATTTTTTATATTCAGCGAATATAAATGGGGGAAAGATTAAAATTTTCTTTATATACATTTTGATAATTTAATATGAAAAAAATGGATTCTCACGTGAAATTTCGAAAAATTAAAATCGATAAGCTGTCTTTATATTTTTAATTTTTTCGAGACGAGGTGAGAGACAAAAAAATCACGAAGAAATTTATTCAAACGCTAATGACATTTTTATGAAAATTTGTAATAGAAGAGAAACAATTGATCTCAAGGCATAATTACACCTTTTCAAGATAGAATAATAAAATATAAAATATAAAAGTAAAGTCAACACGAGGCACTTACTTTCTTTAATGCTATTGACAAAAAACAAATGCGATATGTTTTTTTTTTATCAACCGCTTCGATCCTGCTTTTGCCATAAACATTTAAATGTTTCACATACTTCTATTGTTGTACATCCTAAATTATCACATATTATTACATATAAATTATCTATTTATTACATATTAATTTTATAGATTATTTTAAAAAGTTATCATAAAATTATTGTGAAATTGTTAATTAAATTGTTAATTTAAACAAACAGAGAAGAAGAGAAAGAAAGAGAGAGATTTTTATATAACTTTGAAGATATAAAAGTTTCTAAATTTTATATTAATTTTTAATTTAAAAAATCTAATAGTAACAATTTAAAAATTAAAAATTTTTATACAAATCTGGTTCGATTTATAATCAATTAATATTTTTTTCTTAATGATAACTATTGATTTTTTGATTCGATCGAAATTGTCTCCACATTAATTCATATATTAATCCATATTATATTTCTATAATATTTAACGGCATATAATATTTAGTGGCATCTAACTCAAACATTTATAATTAATTATATAAAATAAACCTATTTATTGTCTAAATTTACAATTATTAGTTTTTATATGAAATATATATTATAAATTCTTAAAAGACAATGGGACGACGAAAATATATAATTGACTTTAGTTTAAAAAAAAACGATGTGTCTTTTATATTGGATCTTAACTATAAAAACTTAAGAATTCCCTTTTTCTTTTCTAGGTAAATTTATTTTTAAGAACGTGAATCTATGGTACATATGCGTGAATTTAAGATTTCGTTCATATTTACATCACGAAAAATTCAGAATATGAAGAAAATATGCGACTATCAAGAGAAAAAAATCCGTCAATGAAAGAAAGAAGGAAAGTTTGAGGTGATGCTATGCTATATTCTACATGCAACATAACATGTGCATAAAAAAACTCGCTACCAGAGTATAATTCATAAATTTACACAATTGACAAATTTTAAGCGATTTATTATGTTTCCGCGTTGTACCATTAAATGAAGAAATTGATTTGAATTAAAAATGAAGCAATATCTTTGATATACTGATAGACTATTATAGCATAATTCTTACAGTCTGTTCATAATTAAAAATAATTAAGAGCTCTTTTAATCGAAAATTTTAATTTTAAATAATTAAGAGCTTATTTAATCATAAACATTTTAATGTATTAAAAGCTAATTCTCTTTATAATTTTATGTAAGAAAAGTAATCTTAATTTGGTTTTTTACTTATATAAATAAAATAATCATATATTAAATATTATTATTAGCATTGATAATTAAAACTATAAAAGTATAAGAAACTATAATTATAAACAAAGAAAATTTTATTGTATATTTTTATCACAAACGGTATCGCTTCTAGCAAAAACAACAAACATATTCAACATATTCTTTATCATTAAACAAGATTACTGATCTTTTTTCGAAGTGACTTCGTGAGTACTTGTATCCTCATATGATAAATGTAATAAATTATCTTTGAAACTACACTATTGGTTATGCAAGCTGAGAATATAATTTTTAATTTTTTTATTTGTTTAATTACATACCTTCGACATTGCTGGAGAAGCTCACATCGCTGATAAAGTTATGTTCTCTACCATAAAACCTGGGATGAGCAGGAGCTAGATAGACATTTCTGTTTTTATTTCTGTTCAGCAATATACGGTTTCCATTACGAAATGTATTAGAGTATCTTGACGGCTCTTGCGGGATCGATATATAATTCAATGGTGGTACTGTTGGTATCCATGTCGAATAAACCGGATCTAAAACAACAAACATAAATTTTAAAAAATCAATATTTTACACATAAATAAATATGATTTCGATGGACATTTCTATTACTAAAAACTTGAACACTTCAATATTTTGACCTTTTTATAATAAAGGTAGGGAAAAAAATAATAATCTTTTGCGACTTGTGTACTTACATTGTTGGTACAAAGAAGAAAATAATATAACAATTTTCAAAATGCTAAATTTTTTGTTATAATTAAATTAATGCTTTTTGAATAAATTCGATGCTTATTAAGGACAATAAATAAAGAGAAAAAAAATGATTGAAATATAATTTTTATAATCAATTATTAAATGATGTAATGTTTAATTAAATGTGTTATATTTAAAGTTATCAAACAAATGTATAAGATTCTCGATAAGGTCATTCTAAATTTGAAAAATTTTGCAAATCTGAAATATTCCACAATTAACAATTTCATATATTTCTTAAAAACAACAATGTTTTTTTTACACCAAATGATTTCTCACATTATTTTGTACATAATTATTAAGGTAAGATAATCAAAAAATGAATATTTTACGAAATATTTTATGGTTTATGTAAAATTAAGAAGTAATTTCAAGCCTCATAACTCATGAGTTCGGAAACGCTTTCTTTCCCAGTTATAAACATTTTCTACAATCAAAATTAAAAAAGTTATTCGGGGTGATCGATTAAAATGGGACACCCTGTATATATATATATATATATATATATATATATATATATATATAGACACACACACACACACACACACACACACAATATGTATAAATATCCATCGAATGTTGTATCCAGTGGATATTGACTTACATATTTTATAGATATTTATGGAACCTCATTTACATTTGGATATCTATAGCATCTCTAATAACTGATTCTCAGATATATTCGTAGATATCCTAATGCTGAAGAGGAATATTCTATGTATATCTAGTATCCAATTATTTTCTGTATAGGCATATGCGTGCGCAATGTTTTATAAAAAAATTTTATAATTTCTACATTTTTAATATACTAAACAAGGAGTCATTAATTTGATTAAATGTGTTTAGTTGGTTATTATTTTTTTAATTACACTGCTTAAATGTTTAAGTCAAATATTTAAACTAAAAGATTGATAATCAATCAAACACATTTATTAATGAATTCTTTTCTATATATAGATTTGCAATGTATACGTCAGTTCTATATATAGATTTGCAATGTATACGCCAGTGCACATGTATACATCATAAATGGAAAATTAATTATTGATTCCAAACATTTGAGTTTTTTCGATGAGAATAAAGTCTTTATAAACTATTATCATAACCAGTTTGATAAGAAACAATTATGACTCGCACATACAAAAAAATAATGATGTTGAATAATGATATTGATAAAATTGTTTATAATATATTATTACATGATGGAAATAGAGATTATACATTGAGTTAAAATTTACTATGCATATTGTACGTTTTAAGCATGCACGCTTAAGATGAAACTGGATATGGATACGTTAAAAATTAATAAATCTAATGCATTTGAAGATTTATAAATTTGATATTGCATAAAGCATTTTCAGTATTTTAAAGTTAATAATTAATTTTATATAAATTGGTATATAATTCGGCTCTATGTATTTAAACAACATAATAATTAAGTAACGAGCACTGAGAGCCCAATAAACGCGGATGGCAATGCGTAAATTTTTACGAACATTAATTGTTCGCGAAAAATTTTTTTAAGACATATGCACATATGCCAAGTTATAGATTCTCTTGGTTTGAGACGGCAAGCGAAAGACTCGGGTTCGATTCCCGATTCAGCGACTTCGCCCCGATATTTTTCCTGTCTACATCTCTCCAGGGGGGTAAAGGGGTTGTTATAGAAGTCTCAAACCAAGAGAATCTATAACTTGGCATATGTGCATATGTCTTAAAAAAATTTTTCGCGAACAATTAATGTTCGTAAAAATTTACGCATTGCCATCCGCGTTTATTGGGCTCTCAGTGCTCGTTACTTAATTATTATGTTGAATTAATTTTATATTTTAAGAATATTAAAGTGTTTCGAGCAATGTCAAATTTTTGAATCTCGAAATGTATTTGATTTATTAATTACACAGGCCTGCGAGGGTCAGTTACAAAAAGCAGAGTAGGTTAATCTTATAAATTTTTTGACGTTGAAAACGAATCTGGCCGCAGAATTTCCTCAGCACATCAGGTTTTCGAGTATTTTATAGTTAAATAATCCAAAAATGGCGATTTTAGCGATTTTCAAATTTCATTTATTATAGAAGAACCAAATTTTTTGAAATATTTCTGCCAATGATATTATATAATACTAGTCTTTATCTTTCAAATCCATTGTCTATTGCCGCACGATTTTTTGTCGCTATTGACGTAGCTAAAGTCCTTCTAGAGTTCTTCTTAAGAATTACTACTTATATTATATATGTACATTCAAATGACATTAGAAGATGCATATCACGATTTGTATGGCAAATCTTTCTTGCGTAACGATCAGATCATAGTAGATCAGTTTATGATTGAATCTTGAAACAAGAAGAAGCGGAAATTTCATATAACATTTTGCTCTTTAAAAAAATCTCTTAAAAGATTTTCATTTTTTTTTAATATATCTATTCTCTTTTGCTTTCTTTTTCTCAATTATCTTATTGTATTTAGTTATCCAATATTTATATAAAATATGATAAATTGTGATATATAATTATATAATTGTAAAACAGTCAAATCAGTTAAAATTGTCAAATATCATAGTTGTTTAAATTGTGCTAAATTGTGCGACAGTAAGTATCAAAATCTTGCATTTTTTTCCAATATCAAATTGAAACTCTCAGTTTTGTTTTTATTTTTTTAAAAACACAGTATTCGTAAAATTAAAATGTGATTTAATAAAAAATATGATGAATAAAAGACGGATATTTTATAGACTTGCTTGAAGTATAGTACTCGCTATGGGTCGTAAGTGTTAGTGATAAAAGCGAGGTGCAGACAGCGCTCGGCAAACCATACGCGGCACGCTCAAACTGTTAAATTTTTTTTAACTATGATATACCTTTCCGAACGTTTTGAAAATTAAATATGTTATACTAGATGAATCGAAGATTTTTTTAGTAAAGTTTTTAATAAGTAATATCTCAAATACATCTTATTAAAAAAATTCGAAAATTTTGAAATTTTTTTCAGTCAATTTTTTTGGAAAAAATATATTCATAATTTTTTAAAATTCCATAATATACTTTTTTTCGTTAAAATAGAATCACCCATTGAAGAGAAAATTTGTTTTTTCGAAATTTTCAATTTAACTTCCGTACAAAATCGATTACGGGAATATCTTACACGGTTTCAACAATTCTATATCGACAGCACGGACAGCAATCGCATTCCTCGCGAATTTACCATGCACGTAGTCGATATACGAAAGCTGGTTATTACGCGTTTCGCGACATCTCGAATCCCAGAGAAACGAACGCTCCCCTGTCGATTTATGCCGTCTTCGAAGTTTCGGTTGTTTGTCTCCGATCGCCCGAAACACATGAAATCGAAATATCAGGGCTAAGCTCTCACGAAAACGAAACACAAAATTGGCGACGGCTGTGTAACAAACGAAATCGCGTACGTGGCTCACAATAATTATTTAAAGTTGAGCAACTTCACCAATATGCTCGCTTCTGTGGCCAGAGGATGATCCTCGGCTTTGTCCTTTCTGCTCTTTTACGCGAAACTGTGCCTCATTAGGTTTCCGGAGTGGACACGCGTCGGGACGGTAACGTCACAATGTTCACAATAAATTTTAGAAAATAAATTTAGAAAATAGATGAGTTTTATTTTAAATAAAGAACAAAATGGATATAAGATATAAGAAACAAATACAATACATATACATATAAAAATTATATTATTTATTGTCATAAACATTTCTATTAAGGAGCATAGATTCGACATTTAAACGAATTAAAATATCTAAACGACGAAATATTCTGATCCTGATTTTGTATTAAAGTTTGTGCGATGTATTTGTACATAAATATATCTACATATGTTATACGAGTACACATATGTTTATCCGATATATTTATATATAAATGTACATATATTATACATATATAACATGTATTTATTATACATCATACTATATCATCATGTTTTATGATCAATATAGTATTTTTAATAAATACTTTTGATTAGAATAAATAATAATGATATAATTTGTATGTATAATATCTTTGTTAGTGTATGCGCGTGTAAGATTCTAATGAAAATCAACTTTAAAAAATACTATAATTAAAAAATACTATAATTTATATATATTCGCATTTATATATATATTCGCTAACTAAAACTAGTACATATATATTTACAGATTACGAGAATGGATTTTATTTCTTTGATACTATGTACCTTGTTTGTTATTTTAATAATTCCCGTAATTATATTAACGTATCATCAATATATTCTTCGACGAAAACTCAAGAACATTCCTCAATATGGCAGATTTCCTTTTGGTGTAGTATTTGAAGTAATGAAACTGACAAATTATGGTAAAGAATTTTATGAATAAAATATTGTTTCTATGCTTTTATAAATGTCATTTATATATTTTTAGCAAAAAAATTTGAAACAAAATATTCATCATTTATTTCAAATTAGTGTAATATACGTTTGATATATAAATAATCAGCATAATAAAAATTAAATATTAAATTTGATTATGTGCTTATTTACAGAACTCGTACAATGGTATTTACAACGTGCGGTACAATTTAAAGAAGGAATTTTTATACACTGGGTTACCATATTTCCATTCATTAATCTTTATAAACCTGAATTATTAGAAGTAAGAATGAAAATCTAATGAATGAATCTTTCTAATATAAAATATCGGTTATTATATTTTTTGTGATTATAAGTACATAAGTACATAAGCATTTGCGATTATAAGTATATAAAAAATACATAATAATTTGGTAGGAGCGCCAAGAAGAAACAACACTTCCTTTTTTCTAATTATTCGTATGACTCAGCTTTTCTTTCCACATAAGATGCAAAACTTTATTAAATTAGTTCTCAGATAAACAGTGCTAAGATGTTTCGAGACTATCTGTAATTAAATAGAAGATTTATTATTAAGAGATAATGCATGCGTCTATTATATTTTATTTGCATTATCAAAGATTTATCTTCCGAGGGAGATAGTTCACTGTCAAATTTAATTTTTCAAGTTGATGTGTACTTTGACAATTTAATCTCATTTCGGTTTCATCTTTAGGATATTATAATGTAAGAATGTTTATTAATTTAATACACTTGGAAAACGTATGTATAATGAAATAACATAAAAAATGAATTAAAAATATTGAATAAAATTTTTAATAATTTTACATAAGACGCTATTTCCTAAAAAAGTAAAAATTTGAAGAAAAGACGTCTTATATAACAAATGATAAAATATTATGAAGTTCTTTTATTTCTGAATTTATTTTTGTAGATTATTATGACCAGTACTGTAAATATCGAGAAAGGACATCCATATCAATTGTTGGAATCTTGGTTAGGCAAAGGACTTTTGACTTCTACAGGTAAATCCATAACTTTTTTCAATCTATTTTTTCATAAACTTTTTTTAATATCTATATAAACATGAAAAGTAATTTGTGCGTTTATATTAGATTATGCGTTTTTGACGGTTTTATATAGTTATTTTCGGAAGGTATTTTTAACAAATCCTTATATATATTTATAAAGGTCGGACTTAAATAGTTTTGGAGATAAAGGCTAAAAAAGGATAAAAATAATAAATACAAAAATTAAAAAAATATATATACATATATATACATACGAAATTACTCGGGAAGACTTCTACTCTAATATATTTAAAAATAAAGCAAATTGGAAAGGGAGTCTCTTTTATGCACAAATATCAGAGATTCTAATTCTTGTGTTCAATTATTTATATAATTGCTTTTATGTTGATATTAATTATTTATGAAAATTGGAGATTTTATATGTTGACATTAATTATTCATTGAATAATTATTCAATCTTTAAAACATTATTAAATTGTTTGTGCAATTTTTTTATTCAAATCATAAATATTCAGTGGCAATATATAAAAAGGATTAATAATAGAATAGGATAAAAAATATATATAATAGTATTACAATAATATTAAAATATATATATGTAATATATAATATTATATTATAATATTATAATATATATAATAATATTTTTTTCATTCTTTTATAAATATACGCCTACATATTTTTTTTATCTCTAATACGATATTTTTTATAAATAAATGTACCACTATACTATTTTCATACTACTTCAGGAAAACAATGGTTCCATGATAGAAAATTGATCGGGGCAACATTTCACTTTAGTATATTGGACCAATTTGCTGTGGTTATGTACGAAAAAGCAAAGATCTTGATAAAATGTTTGGAGAAAGAGATAGCAAAGAATCCAGGGATGGCCATCAATATTTATCCGTTTATTAACAATGCTGCGCTTGACGTTATATGTGGTAATAAATATATATGTATCATTATAATATATATTTCTTAGACACAAAAGAATATCATTAATGTATTATATGTTATGCTACAGCAACAAATTATTATGAGCTGTAACATAAATAAAGAGACTTGTCAAATTTCAATTTTGTTGAATCGACAAGTTTATTCATTATGATAATAAGTTAAATATATTTATTGGAAACATAGATTATTTTGCTTTAAATTTATGTTTTCAAAATCAAATCGGCATATAAAATCTTTCTGTTCTGGAAATAAATTTTATCTTTACGTCGAATAATTAACTTTTGTATTAAATACCGTTTGTTTGTACGAAATGAAATTTATTGAATGTATAGCAATGGTTTTGCTGCACTAGCAAAATTCTTTCTTTTCGTGTTTCTATAATTACTGATTACAAGTACATATAATTTTGATAAGGTCAATTTCAGACAGTGCATATACGTATAAATGCAAAAAACTGAATTTTATCTTTTACATTTTATTTAATTGTGAATATAGAGAAAAAGAATCTTTAAATAAATATAAGATTTATTCACATAAATAAAATAAAAGCAAAAACATTAAATAAATAAAATAAAAGCAAAATTTTATGTCGATATTAATTTTTGTGTAACAAAATTATTCAATTCTATATTATTTTCGACAGTTATGAATATTAATTTTATTTTTTTTCTGAAATAAGCAATATAAAATGTTTTGAGAGATTTATGATGATATTGTCACTATTTTGTAGAAACGGCAATGGGTGTGAATATACATGCTCAAGAAGATGAAACCAAATATACCGCAGTAATACATAGGTTCGAAAAATCATGAATTATATTATTTTATTAGTAATAATTTGTTGATAATATTAATGATTTATTAAGATTTTCTAAGACTTAAGGCAGCACATTTCGTATGATTAATTAATTAATATAATAGTATAAATATGCTGTTACATCGGTTAAAGTTTTAACTTTCAGAGTTTCTAAATTAGTAGCAAAGCGATTAATTGAACCGTGGCTATGGCCAGATTGGTTGTATAACTTAATCTCTGAAGGAATAGAATATAAATCAATGGTTAATAAACTACATAAATTTACGAGAGAGGTATGTGCAAAAAAATGCTAATGATACACTAATAATGATAATGTATTAAAATATAGCGATAATGTATTAAAAATATCGGCAGAATTTTATTAAATTAATTGTTAGCTTTATTTTTTGTTTGAATGAATCCAACAAATTTATAACTGAGAAATAATAAATTTCAGATAATACATAAGAAAAAGATTATTCGACAATCACAAAACGATTCTACTAAAGCGGAAAATGAAAATGATGAACTTGATATAGGTGCGATTATACAATTATAATTATATGTATGTTTAGTAGTTTGTGTTAATAAATTTTTTAATTATTATTGGGAAATTTGTTTCCTTAGGTAAACTGGAGAAGAAAGCTTTTCTGGATCTATTACTAGATCAAAATGAAAAGGACGAAATTCCATTAACCGATGATGAATTGAGGGCACAAGTTGACACATTCATGTTCGAGGTGAGAGAAAAAATTCTTTAAATGTAAAACTCTTTTTTATCAGATTCTATAATGTAATTATAAGTGAATGTTATAAAATACTAAGGATATATAATGATATAGGGTCACGATACAACTGCGGTTGCCATAACCTGGGCACTCTTTCTTTTGGGCAATAATTTAGAGCACCAAAATAAAGTTCATGAAGAACTCAAGGAAGTTTTCAAGGATTCAGAGACACCAGCCAACATAAAAGAACTGTCGCAATTAAAGTACCTCGATAGAGTCATAAAAGAAGCGCTCAGATTATTCCCAAGTGTACCTGCTATCACAAGAAAATTATCGGAAGATGTAAAAATAGGTATGATAAAACTAATTTCTATTAATATCAAAATAAAAAGAATAAGATTCACATTAATTTGTAAATTTGTAAATTAGTAAAATTTGCTATTATATGATATTTTTCCTTACTTGATGAAGATACTGTGTTTTGGTTGACAGAGATACTTTTTTTATTTATTAAAGCCTAAATAAATGCAACTCAGTAAAAAATCAATATCTGAAAATCTACTTTAGACAGTCTGTAATTTGCAATAAAATTCAAGAAATAATAAAATAATATCATAAAATTCTACTTATCATTTTATGTTCCGTATAAATTCTTCAAATACTTTTATTATACAAATAGAAGTTGTTCACATTTTTCGAATTATTATATATTTATCTATTATACGTTTAATATTCTATTGCGGATTTTATACAAAGCATAATTTTTATATTGTGGATTATAAAAGTACAATTTTTTTAAGCTACAAAAACATTTACATTATATATGTATATGATTTATCAATACAAACTTTTTGTATCTGTTTATGTGGGAAAGAAACAGAATACAATTTATGTATTCGTATATCTGGGAAGAGAACAGAATGTAATCTATTTTTTAGGTGATTATACGTTCCCAAAAGGTATTACAGTTGTACTGGCAATTGCAACAGTGCATAGAAATCCGGAGGTATGGTCAGATCCATTAAAGTTCGATCCAGATCGTTTTCTTCCGGAAAATTCGAAACATAGAAATCCATATGCTTACATTCCATTTAGTGCTGGACCCAGAAATTGTATTGGCCAGAAATTTGCTTTACTCGAAGAGAAAATGATGTTAACAGCTATTCTGAGAAAGTGGAGAGTGGAAAGTGTAAAAGAATTAATTGAATTCGAGGCCACTCTTATTTTGCGACCAACCGAGAAGATATTCATCCATTTTACGCCAAAGAAATAATTAATTTACCAACAAATGTTTATTTCTTCTTATTGTGTGCAATCTTTATAATCTTTTTCGATTATGGAATTTTTAAATCGTTATTCTTGTTACAAATATAGCATCTACTACTATTGTATGTTATATATTAATATATAATGATTCAGAGTGATATGAGATGTACGTTTGAATATCACCGGTGAATAACATCGGTGAGGAAAGAAGGTCGAAACCCCGAAATATCTCGAAAAATATAAGTTTTATAGAAAATTGTTTCAGATAACTGTTGTAGGGTTTAAAAAGATTTATTTACTGATCTTATCAGTTTGACTTTGGGCGATGTCGTCAAGGTTACCTTGAATATTTTAAATGGAACCCCATATTTTTTATTACATATACTTTTATTACATATATCTTATAGCTCTTCTTCAGGGATTTTCCAAACACTAATAATTTTATTCACTTTAAATAAACGTTTCAAAATTACCGAGCTTTTTGTGTTAAAATGTCTAGATCATAAAGAGAGAGTGATTAGAAGATCCAGCCTATGAAGACAAGATCGGCAAGATCGGAAGATGAATCAATAAAGGCAAAATTATTGCGATTTAGACATCATAAGCAAAATTGATTTTTCAGCAAAAATAAGACTGTTGAGCATTCACATTATTAAAGGTTTTATAGTTTTAAATGTTCGAACTGCACACCATTTACTGTTTGACAATGTGCAATACATTCATAAAAATTGGTCACAATAATCCTAATATAATAATCATATTCCGATCAATTAAAACAGCTTCTTCAAGAATACAATTGCAAAGATCGTCCAGATTATTTGGTTGTATCCTATACATCCTGCTCTTAAGATAACCCCACAAGAAGAAGTTAAGCGGCGTTAAATCTGGCGATCTAAGTGACCATTCAATTTCTCACCTTCTCCCTATTCATCAGTTAGGGAATTGTGTCTAAATAAGCACGTATAATGTGGTGGAGCACCATCTTGCTGATACCATGTCTCAACAAAATTTTTACCTGCGATCTGTCTAATTGTCGGGAATATCTGATCTCTTAATATTGCTTTCTCTGCTGTCAAATCACCATGAATAAAGAATGACCCAATTAATGTATCGTTCGGAATACGTACCCAGACATTTAATTTTTGTGGATATTGAGTATAGCTTTCCATCATCCAATGAGGATTATTATCAATATCTGTAGTTGTGTTTCTGTTAACTTGACTGTTTAATTCAAAAGTTGCTTTATGAGAAAAAACCTAACCTAACGATATTAAACAGGAAATTAGGATCAATTCTCCCCATTATTAAATCGCAAAATTCTAGACGACGCTCAGGATCATTATCGTTAATTAGCGATCTCGATCTTTTTGACTTAAGAAATGTAGGCGCGCGGCGAAGCAGTGTGTGGAGGAGTAGTGAATGCAGGAAAGACTTTTCACTCCTTTCCCACCAATTGTGAGATACAATTAAAACTGTAATACAAAAAATAAAATATATTAAAATACATTATCAACTGTGTAAAATATGAAAAATAAAATATATTAAAAATATTACTTTATGTACAATCATTACATTAAATTTTGGTGGTCTATTTTGAAAAATATATTTCTAAAAATCTATTCCTAAAAAAAAATCTATTTCTAAAAACTAATTAAATTTTAATATTAATGACTTAACTTTTATCACAGTTCTCATTACAGAAGTTCTCAATTTATCATATAATAAGCGCGAATAATACAATATTATATATTCTTTGAATCTAATGTTTCGAATCGCTTTTTTTTCACATTATAAAAGTTGCGTTTATAAATCGAATGTTCAAGCACTTTACCTATCGAGTACCGAGTCATCTTGGTAGATGTATTTCAATAAAAAGTATTTATTCAGATATAAATAGCAAAAGTTAAATTGTTTCATTATATATACAAATCTTGTAGATGCAAGGACGTCTTGTAGATGCAAGATGCAAGGAACGGAGCCTACTGTAGTCACGCATGTACATTTTACCTTGATTTTTAAAACGTATATAGTGTCTGAAAATTGCACATAATTCGTAAAACTTTTGTTGTTAATAACTTTTTAATAAATGATAAGCAACACTAAAAATCTTTTGAATGTCACTCAGGACAGTGATCTTGATAACATATATTAAGATAAAGGTCGGAAATCTCCTAATATCAACTTTTTACCCTAACTTTTATATTTTATAAATCATTTCTTTGTTCTTTCTCGATTCTCGAAATCCTCATTTTCAAAATGTATCTGTGTTACTATTTACAAAAGGTGCAATTGAAAATGAAAAGGTGCAATTGAAAATGAAAATAAAAATGAAGATTTTAAATGAATTTTTCTTAAGTGTTTAAAATTTTTCATCTTCCTTAACTTTTATATGCTACATATATATACAAATTTGGATCCTCTTTTACTTTACGAGTGTTTCTAATCTTTTCACATAACATATTTCTATCTTAAAATTTATTGTCGAATTATATATATATATATATATATATATATATATATATATATATAAATCGTCCAAGCAGGGACATTGATATGTTAGGTGTGTCGTTAAAATAGTTTTTACTAAATTTTTTCCAAAATTAATTGTATTAAATACAGAATCCTCAAGATTTACTCCGACGAGGAATGAGTTTGTCTTAAGCAGATTTGAGTCACTGCGAGCGATTGTAGCGAAGTGAACGAGGTCCAGGAGAGCGATTGTACTTCTCTCGTAGGCCCGATACTTGAGGAACGATGCGGATGGCAGGAGTGAAAGGCCCACGCCCGTGCCTCAGGCTCCTTGGCAAGGGCGACTGGCCCCGCGTATAGCACGCGCTCGTTCACTTACACACAAACACACACACACACACACACACACACACACACACACACACACACACACACACACACACACACATATATATATATATATATATATATATATATATATATATATAAGTGAGGAGATCATCCGCGAACTCTCGAGAGCGGACCTCTTCTTCCGAACCCGTTTTCTCTCAGTCGTGTTCTCACTCTCGCAGAATCGCTCGCCCTCTCACTCTCTCGCCGCGCCCGCCACGCGTGCACGTGTACGCGCGCGCGCACACGTGTCTATCAGGCATTCTTGCGCGTCAGGCGATTTTTTCCCTTAATGATTTAATGGATTCCTTTCATTCATATAAGGCGCCGGAGTCGATGGAAAGTGAGAGAGAACGTATAGATCCTGAAGAAATTCCCGCGGTTCAGGAAACGCGTTAGCGAGACGCAAAAGCATCGGAGCTGACGAAGAAATATCTTATGCTGTTTCAAGATACCTTGGCTTTGGTCAGCACACGAGGATGTTACTTGTGGGAACTTTTCTTATAAAATTATTGTGATAATATTATAATATTAATATTATTCTTATATTTATATATATTTATTTTATTTATTCTTATATTATATTTATATCTTATATTATATTAATCTTAATATATATTATTATGATATAATAATATATCATAATATTATGTTATTATTATCATTGTGTATTATTAGAATATTACTTATCTCTATAAGTATAATAAATATGTTATATGTACGTATATTTTATTAACAGATAGAAATATATTTTGTAAAGCTCTGAGAATCACTTATAATGCGACATATATTTTTTACTATCTAGTGTACTCTTTCTCTCTCTCTTTTATTTCTTCTTGATAAGATCCTAAGAGGAATGTGTATGAATAAAAATAACGCATTTAACAAGAAACAAGATAAGACTTACGATATAATTATCTAGAAAAATGAGATAAGTATTAGAAAGATAAGATAATTTATGATATTAGTATAAAATATAAAATTCTAATAGTGATATTAGAATTTTGGAGTTAATTTTAGTAAACTTTCATCTTTTCTCACTCACAACTCTCGACACAAACAGTAAAAAATATTAAAATTTTGAAGACTATTGAGAATTTTTGTTATCATTTTTATTTTCATTAAAATCTAATGTAGATTCTAAAGTAGATTCATTAATACTATCCATATAACTACTTCATCTTCTCTCGCAACATAATGTAATTTATGGATTGATTTATAATGGTAAGACATGCATGCACTGAATCTGCATTCAAACTTTGTTAATTTTGTAGAATTATAAAAATTGCTAACGCAATAAGAATGCGAGATATGTATTTCAAATTGGCTCGCGTCGATGCAATAGATCAGACGATCGATGGGAAATGAAGGGGTGTTCCCGGTTTGTAATTTTGTTGCGAAATAAATAATTGCGCTCGCACATTGATGAATCAATCTCTAACTGCTTTCTCAACTGCAGAAGCAGAAGTCACCTGTGATGCTCCCACAGCTGTATACTTCTAAGCTAAGGATCAGATACTGAAAGGCGAAGAGGACACGTTCCCAGGGCGTATACTCTGTATCGATAGAATATAATGCCAGTAGTCGTACGTTCCGTTAGTACAGAGAGAGCGAATCATAAAAATCATGTCGCTTCTATATCGAGATGCATTCATCGGTCGCGAGATGACCACTTGATCGGGTTATCAGCATCATGCATCGATATTAATAACTCCGCGCGAGTTTCGCGTACATTCTCTTTATCTCATGCTCGATCGATTTCGTAAAATAAGTATGATACACGCGCGCGCGTGACATAAAGTTGTTTATAAAACTAGAATGTTTGATACGATATTGTGTAATTTAATGAGAGCGAATCTTATAGACAAGAAAAGTTAAATTTAAAAATTGATAATCGAATTTACATAATTTAATTATCATAATTTATATAATCTTTATTTAATTCTTTATTTAAAATTTATTTTAATAATAATTTATCTTACAGGTATTATAATAAAATTTAAATTTTTTAAAAAGAAAAGAAAAAGTTGGCAATAATTTAAATATTATATTTATGAAATATTAAATATTATATTTATGAAATATAAGTAGTGAGAAAGAAACAAATTCTCTAACTAATTGACAATTAATTTAAAAAATTTAATTACATTTTATATAGTAATTTATAAATTATAGTAATTTATAATCTGTAAAAATTACATTCACATAAGAGCGAATCTTATGGATCATGTTTAGTGAGAGTGAATGTTGTGGATGATAACGAAAAAAAATCAAATTTAAAAATTGATAACAATTTATATTCTTATAATTTAAAATTATCGATATAATTTATATATAATTTAATTTAATAATAGTTTATATGCTACAGTTATAATAATAAAATAAACTTAAATATAAAAGAAAGAGAGAGACAAAAAGAAGTTAATCTACATATGTTTATGGAATGTAACATAATGTAGAAACAAATTTTCTAACGAATTAACAATTAATTAAAAAAAGTAATTACATTTTATAGTAATTTATAATATGTAAAAGTTGTGTTCACGTTTAATGTCTCGATTATTACATTTATTACCCTGAAATTAGCCATCCGCTATTAATACCTCAATCCGTCGTGGATTTTATCGATTCGATTCAACATCTTTCTCTAAATAATATTTTCCTTTCGTAACATATATGTGCATATGTAGATATAAATCGCGATATTCTCAGAGATGCAAAGAGTGATTCATTATTAACGTTCGCCAGAATAAACTCATACGCGATGCGATAATTTGATGCTGAAACGTCAAACCTTCTTATTATGTGTCTATCTCGTATTTTCGGCCTACATGATATAACCTCCATTGATATACGAGACCATCATTGTGTAACAATCATTTCGGCATTCTGCAGTCGCAAGTCAATTTCGCGGAGTTTTGTAATCCTCCCAAGGATATCAACGATCAATCAATGACAATCTTTCTGGACTTTACAAACACATCTCAGAATCTAGAGCAATTGTAAGAAAAAAAATCTTTTCGTCTACATTGTCAAATCAAGGATTGCAGATGGAAATAACGCAACGTAGCCAACTTTCGTTTCTGCAATCCTTGATTTGACAATAGATCCTTTTCTTTCTTTTTCCAACGAACGTTGGAGAATATCTTGATCGAACAAGCCGTCAATCAATCGCGTATGTCACATCGCTACAGATAACGAATACTCTTTTCTCGACATGATATTCGGTGACGTGATTCCAAGCTAATCGCAAGGATTGGATCACGCTTTAGGGGCAGATGTACTCACCCATTCAGAATCGAAAAAGCATAATGATTAAACCAGATATTGATCGACATTTATTATTCATTCATCAGACATGTAAATTACGCGTATTCATGTACATATGCACACATACACATACATCAATCCCAATTCGCGCTATTTACTCGTTCATGCCGAGACATATCAGAGAGTCGCCTACTTGAGAGTTTCTATCAAAAATGCATATTAGTGAACATTTATTATTCATTCATACGATGTTGCATTCACCATGCTAAAATGGTTCCTCTCATGCTACTCGTCACGATTCATCGAAGACCCATAAATCGAGCAAGACAAATTAATTCAGAATTAAATAAGGTCATCTTAAACATCCACACACATTCACCTCTA